CCCCCCCCCAAGTGTTACTCTCTCTACCACCCTACAGAGGGGCACCTGGGGGGTTCCCGACCCCCCCTCCCACCCCATCACCTTCTCCCCAGGAAGGTGGATGGAACAGGGTGTGTCCCCGGGGACCGTAGATCCTGCTGGGGGTCTGGGTGACTCCCTTCTTTATTTGCACCCTAAATGTGAAGCAGTGGCAGTAAGATTATCCCCATCCTGGTGTGGGTGACTGTAGGGGTGCCCAGAGGGGACCTGGGGGGACACACCGAGGTGGCCCTGCCCGCCCAGGGCAAGGTGATGACCGCAGGGCTCTGACAGGTCCCCCACCCCCGCTTCCATTTCATTAGCCGGGGTCCCCATCGTCCGGTCTGGGGTTGCCATGGCAACCTCCGTCAGCATCGACAGGGCCCTGGCGTTTCCACGGGGACGGGCGATGCCTCCAGGCCCCGATTAATTGGCGGTGGCGAGGCAGGGACTGGATTGAACCTGCCCGGGTGTAGGGAGAGGGGGTGCAGGTCCTCACAGCCTCCCCTGCCCTTTGGGAATAACTGCAAGGATAATTAATTGTTGCATCTGCCTGGCACCCTTGGGTGTGTACATGGGGTGCTGGGGGGGTGCTTGTGGCTATTCCTCCCGAATTCTCTCTTACCCCCCTGAGCTTTGCCCCACTGAGCGCAGGAGGGAGGGGGACTGTGGGCGGCAGGGCTGTCCCCACCATCCGGGCCCTGCCCTGCCAGCACTGCTGTCTGTCCTTGTCATTTGGCCAGACAGTGAGGATTTACTTTTTTTTTTCCTTTAATTTTTTTTTTTTTTTACCCCTTTTTAATCCCCCGCTCAATCCCTGCCCTCCCCCAGCATCGCTGGGCACTGGCCTCTGCCTGTGGCCAGTTCCCTCTGTCCTCGTCCCCGGGGGGAATTCGCTGAGTGTTCCCAGCCCTTTGCTGCTTTGCTGGTCCCTTCGCATGGGTCTGGCCGTGGCTGGCACCCCCCTTTTCACCCCCACCCCCCCTTCTTAGGGCGGGGGGGCACAGGGCTTTCACAACCTCTGCCTTGCTCTCCCCGTTGCTCATCCCTGCCTGTGGGGATGCCCCAGGGACACCCCTGTCCCAGCGATCCGGGGGCAGTGGAGTGGGGGGAGGCAGCCCCCTTCACCTCCCCCCGTGTGCGCTGGCGGATGGGAAGGTTTCCTGCACCCGTCTCTAAGCAACGGCCATTAGCGCTCTATTAATGAGGGATGGGATGCGAAGGTGCATCCTGCCTCGCTGGGCTCTAACCGGAGATCCCTGCCTGCCCCCGGCCCCGGGGACCCCCGTGTCTGTCAGTTGGGAAGCTGAGGGGTCTTTTCAGGACAAACGCATCCAGCGCTTTGCAGGAGGGATGCTGCTCTGGGTGCCTGGGTGGTGGGGGAGGCGAGATGCAGGGAACTGCCTTTTCCTGGCCAAAACCACTACGGTTTGGTTCAAAAGCCACGGCCACAGCAGGGGGGGGACACGGATACTGCCTGACCCCTCTCCATCCCTGGCCCCAGCCAGTGCTGAGCCGTGGAGCTTCCCAGCGGGATTAAAGCAGAGCTTGGGAAACCCCCACCTTGGCCCCCGGCCCTGTCCCCTGCCGCAGTGGCTCTCTGCCCTTGCTGGGGGAGGTCTGGGGGTGTCCCTGCCTGGGGCAGGGTACCAGCGGGGGGGCTGGATGGGGGTCTGGCCACCTGCCCACCTCAGGCACTGCTTTTGCATGCCAAGCACGCAAGCACTGGCCGTAAAAGCCTTTTGACATTGGATAAAGCCAAGCAAGAAAATTGATGTTCTTTTCCATCCTGTTAGCGGGAGCTTAGTTCCAGTGGGGAGAAAATGGTGATTAAAAGGGTCGAGTTCTTTCCCATCCAAACACCCCTCACCTCGGATGCTGGGTGTTGGGGGGAAGGGCTTGGCACTGGGTGCCCCAGGGAGGGGTGGATGGGATGGGGGTCCCACGCTGCTCTGGGGGAGCCCCCGTGCCCAGCAGGGTGAAGCTTTTCCCAACGCCAGGGTTGGGTCTCTGTGTTGTCTGCTGTGGATGAGGGTGAAGTTTTGGGGTGAAGGGAGAGGCGGTGCATAGGGACACCCCATTCCTCATTGCCGCTGGGCTGTGGGTGGACTGGGGACATGTCAGAACCAGGGAACGTGTCTGGGGGGGCAGGATTAGGACAGGAGAATTGGGGGTGCGATGGGAGAGGCTGAGAGGGGGGATCTTTAGCAGATGGTGATGGGGGGGTCTCTGGGGATGAGGCTGTCCCTGCCAATGGGGGTGAACCTCAC